GGCCTCTCACTGTTGTAGCCTCTCCCATTGCGGAGCACAGGCTCCGGACGCGCAGGCTCAGGGGCCATGGCTAACGGGCCCAGCTGCTCCGCGGCATGTGGGATCTTCCCGGACCGGGGCACGAACCCGTGTCCCCTGCATTGGCAGGCAGACTCTCAACCACTGCACCACCAGGGAAGCCCTAAGCATGGCATTTTAGTTAGTGCTTTTTGTCCCATGTATCATTTCTTTATAGTTGACTTTTTTTTTTTTTGAGTGATTCCCTAAACTCTGTTCTTTTCTAGGTTTTCCTTTGACTTGAAAACTAATGCCAGTGAAAGTACATTGAAATAAGGTAGGAACCTGAAAAAAATAAAATGCTTTGGTTTGTCTTTACATGTTTAAGTGGGGATATTTTGCTATGCTCAGTGATTACGCTATCTTTACATCAAAATTAAAGGAGAAAGCAGTCATATTTTAAGGACATTTAGGGTATTATGAAATGTTGGCAGATCAATCCCAAAAACCGATGATGTGATTCAAACTCCAGAAGACCTGGATCGTACAATTGGCAATTTAGAAAAAATCTTACTTTGTCCAGCTATTTCCCCATCTCTAAAATGGGGCTCTTTTCTGGTTCCTACTCAGCTAGAATGTAAAAGCTATTGTGTCTTCGTGCTCTTCAAAACTACAGGGTCACTTCACTTCCTTATACTATTTTATTTCCTAAACTTGGAACTCTTTCAGTGAAGTCTTCTTTCTGCGGCCCATCCACTACTGAGCATCAGTGTACTATTTCTATGTTAGTATTGTTTCTAATTGTCCCATCTATTATATTTTACCTAGCAGCTTGAGGGTATAAATCATATTTGTATACCTGGAATTTTGAATATAGGTAGGAACAAACTAATTATTTGTTGGCAGGTAAATAAAACTTTGGATCTCATATAGTATATAGTATTATATCATAAATGTGGACTAGCAATACACTCTGCTGTGATGAAAATTGTTACTATTGAGCAGAAGGTCTGAGTTCATTTACTTTGATGTTTATTGTTTTAATTGCTATAAAGGATAATGTATTATTTAAGAGAACTTTAAACTCTTCTGAGTGAATATTGGTGTTTATAAGTCATATTTTGAGGGTTACTTATCAACTTTGAGAACAAGCAAAGCCCCACCTCATTTTCCTGTCCTAGTGTGTGTCTCCAGAATGTGCTTCAATCTGAAATGTAGGAGTTATCCTGAAAGGTCCCTGCTTTGAACCTCACACTCACTCAACCACGAAGTCCTGTTGCTTCTCCTTTCTTAATCTCAAATTCACCTTCTTGTCTCCGTTCCCCTTTCTGCAAATCTAGTCTAGGCCATCATCATCTATTTCCTTGATCGCTCCAACAGCCTCTTAATTGGTCCCACTGTCTTGCCCTCTTGCAATGCACAGTAAACCCAGAGCAATATTTTTCCTACACAATTCTGGCTCTTAATTTTTTTTTTCCAGTGGCCTCTCAAGATAAAATTTAAGCTTTTTTTGGAAAGCCTACAAGGCTCTAAAACATGACCCTTGCTTACCTTTCCTAACTGTGCTGTTGTTACTCTGAAGCCGTACTACTGTATTTACAGTTACCTGAGTGCAAATGCTGTAACCTTTAACCTTTCATACAGCTGCATCTTCTGCCTTAAACACAATTAAAGCTCTGCTACTTTATCCCCACTTTGACTCCCACTTGTTCTGCAAGATTTAGCTTGCATGTCTCCTCTTTATAAGAGCTTTCCTTAAACCACTAGGCCAGGGATTGGTAAACTGCATGGCCTGTTTTTATATGGCCCGTGGGCTAAGAGTTTTCTCTGCATGTGTAAAATGTTAAAAAGGACTATGCAACAGAGACAATTTGTGGCTCACACAGCACTAGACTGATAAGCTTCATAAGAGATGCTGTGCCTTACCCACGTGGGTCATTTTCAGGTATCTTGCCTGGCACTAAACCAGTTAATCAAATATATAACTTACTAAAGTTTGTATTTTTAATTTTTGACACTTGGGCAAGCTCTTTATGAGAATTGAGATGAGTAGTAAATATCTCATTTGCTTTTAAAAAGGACAGCACAACAAATCAGACACTTGCAGGATCTGGCTTTAATGAATTTGAACAAAAGGCACAGGTTTCCAGGTGTATGTAAATATATGTCCATTTAAAAATTACTTTTTGCTTCTTCCATCTCTAATTCTCTTGGACAGGAATGAAAGAATGTTTAAATTCTTTCTTATTCAAGCAAGAACTTCTTTAGCCTAATGGTGTTTTGTTGCCTCCTAGATCTTGGTGAGTTCTCTATGGTTAAATAATGCTTTTAATTTCTGTATCAACACAAACCCTCTTTGTTGGTTTCTCCAAAATAGTATTTTCTTCTAGTGTGTCATTACAGTCCCTTTTGGCTTTTGTTTCTTCGTCATGGAATAAATGTGGGTGCTCAATGCGTCCCCTACGTACAAAATGCTGGATCCGGGATTCTAATCCTTGGCATTTAGGACGATCCATTAGGGGCTTATAAGTGCGCATTTTCACTCCTTCTACAAAGGCACTGGTCTGCTTTATGATAGAGGGCTTAACATTTCTCCATTCTATCACTCCATCCATCTTTGGTCCTATAATGTATACAATCAAGCATTACATGGATACTTTACCACAACAGAATCACCTCCAAGCTTTATGTGAATCTCCCTCCCCCATAACCCTGTATAACTTTGGTTCCCTGTCATACCTGTCCTACAGGGTACCGCAACAGAGTCCAGTCCTTGTAGCATACTATACAACATCTGAGTTTTAACAGCATGATTAGCCCACAGTTGCTGAAGGTGGGTAACATTGAACTCCTGAACTTCCCGGTCATAGATCCACTTAATATTTTCAAACTTACAGTCATACAAGACTAAAGGAAATTCTACAGCCATACTAGAGAGAAAGAGAGAAGAAACAGAGTATGAGAATACACAGCAGCCATCCAACAATTCTTAAAAAACAGGATTAGTTGGGTTAAAAGGAGGGGGAAAACTTTGTCAGTATTGAGTATCTAATAGTTAAGAAAATAAAACACCATCCCTAACCTTGAACAACTTTATAATTAAAAAAAGAAAAAGGCAGTAAACCATGGATCAACTAGTTAGGCCTGGTCTACATTAAATTTCAGTGGTAACAAGTCACCTAGAAGTGAGCTGACTCGGCCCCACCATAATGCTATAAAATTATTTAAGGGGCCTGGTCCAAACACCGGTTTCTTACTAAAGGGATAGAACAGTAACAGAAGAAAATTAAACGATACCACTCCCTGCTACATGTTCATAACATTCTACAAGTTAAGAGTAAATGCTTCATGAAGGCAGAATCAGAGACTTAGTTATTTAGACAATGGTGGGGAGAGGAAGAATATTTTAAAATATATTCTTACATATCTCAGGGCAATAGCTGTTTTATTTTGTGGGTCTGGGTGTTTCCTTGTTTCGTTTTTTTAAACTTACCTGTATTGAGGCTTCTGGGGATTTTTCTCTATGTTCAGCAGCTCATCAATAACCTCTGGCTTCTCCATTCCTTGGCCAATCAGAAAAAGGATAGCCATCATACAGCGGACTTGATGGTAAAGGAATGCCTGGCCAATCACTTCAAACTGACATAACTGAAAGGGTTCTTGCCATCTCTCCTCAGCCAGGCTCTGGCCTACTAGCTGCACTTGAGCAGACAGAATAGTCCTCTGAAAATTAATCACCCCGTTGGCTACATCCATTTTACATAAGTTCCTAAAATCATGTGTGCCAACGTACTTCTGAGCTGCATTGTTCATGCTTACAATGTCTAAGTCAGCACAAGGGAAGAAATAGCGGTAGGTCCTCTCAAGACAGCTGAACCTAGCACTGAAGCTAGGTTCTACGGGAGCCCAGGCCAGTACACGGATGTCTGGAGGGAGCACCCGATTGAGAATGTGGGTATAACGGATCTCTATAGCCGCATCGTTGACTTCATCATTTAAATTAAAATCCTCTGAATCCCTGCCCTTTGGAAAGTGAGAACGTAGGTCAAGAGAAATCACCTGTGGAATTAGAGAAAGATATTGTTTTACAGATACAAATAATCTGAATCCTCAGTATGTACACCTAGAATATGTTGGTATTGCTCACTTTATGGAACAGTACAATGGCCCTTACCTGTCCAAAGGCACTAACTCCTTTGTCTGTTCGCCCACACCGGTGATAGTTGGATGTCTGTCTGTTTTCTACTAGTCGAGTCTTGGTTAGAGCCTCAAACAGTTTCTCTTCTATTGTATTGTTTGTGTTTTCCTGACTGGCAAAGCCCTGATATCCCCAGCCCAGATAGGCTATCTTTAGGGCTACGTGTCTTCGACCGTGAGCGCTGAAATCAAATGCACGCTTAGCTTTTACAGCTCCTGAAGAATTTTCTCTAACGTTTGAGTCCTTGTTGTTGGCCTGTTCTTTTTTAAGTCTCTGTACCTCCTGCTCCAGTTCTTGCACTCTTTTTAGGAGTTTCTCAGTCTGGATTCTTTCTATGTCATTTTCAGCCATGATAAGACAACCTCAGGAATAAACAAATCATAGAGATCCACCCTATCTGAAAAGAGAGTAAAGAGGTACAATTTTAGTGCCGATTGCTTTGGTGATGTCAATATCATTCCATTATGTTCAAATAGTATCTAAGATTTAATTTGATGCCTGAAGGATATGGACTTTTGATTCTGCCCAGGGATATAAGCATTAGCTTTATTATGGGTTGATCATCCAGCTATTATTCTTTTCCATCCTGTCTGGCCAATTCACAGTGGGAACGGGAAAGCAGCATCAAAAAAATATTCAGCTAGCATTGTTAAGAGTAGTCAGAGGGTTTCCCTTGGTGGCGCAGTGGTTGGGAGTCCGCCTGCCGATGCAGGGGACGCGGGTTCGTGCCCCGGTCCGGGAAGATCCCACATGCCGCAGAGCGGCTGGGCCCGTGAGCCATGGCCGCTGAGCCTGCGTGTCCGGAGCCTGTGCTCCGCAACGGGAGAGGCCACAGCAGTGGAGACCCCCGATAACCAAAAAAAAAAAAAAAAAAAGAGTAGTCAGAATTTACGGAATATGTAGATTTCATTTCTCTCTTCTTCATGAGCTGAGATGACTGAGGACGGATGTTATTGATTTTTTTTCCCCTAAAACATTTCCTTTTGACTTCTCATTATATTTGTCCCATATTTCCAATCATAAGATCTGTTTATATGCAATATTTATGTCTACTCCAAGTTTCTATTGCTTTCCAATATTTCAGGTAAAATTAGTGGCTTGTATGTTCTATCTAATACTCGGTTCCGTCTTAAAGGTGGTACAATAAGAGCTGGCTTGATGGAAGAAACTTGTCAGTGATTGTACTTCATATTGGAAGTAGAACCTGGAGTCAAGATTTTCCTACGTTAAGCAGTTTTGATGGCAGAAAGAAGGTAATTAAGCATCAAGATCTTTAAGTCAAATTTAATGCATGTCCTGATAAAAGATTTCTGTACCTCTAGCAGTTAAAAGTCACTCTAGATAATATAATTTAGATATCAGTGTTGAAATTCCTGGCATATTGCAATAATCTGAGGACAACTGTACTATATCTATAATACTGGGACAGTACTAGACAATCTTTGACTGATGGTTACTTTAGTTAAAGAATATCATCTCCACATCTGTTCTAAGGCTGACTAGGTTATCTAAGTCTAGGTAGCTCATTTAGGTTTTTGCTCTTTGAGTTTCTGTATCTATGACAGATGAAAAGTTTAAATGTAAAAAATGAAACTATAAAAGTACTAGAAGAAAACATGAGATAACTTTCTTATAATCTTGTTGAAGTAGGAAAGGCATTTATAAGTAAGGCACTGTAGAAACCCAGAAACTGTAGGAAACCAAAAAAATGTGACTACCTAAAAATATGTTTCTACCAGCAAAAAGTCAGAAGGTAAATAACAAGCTGGCAAGAAAAATGTAAAGGTGGTATGTATTCCATGAATATATAAATCAGTTTTAATATAAAGATCAACAAGAAAAAAATCCAACAACCTGAGAGGTAAATGAAAACAAGCATTTCATACAAAAGGGAGAAAAAGCTTGTAAATGTATGAAAAGATGCTCAAATTTACTCAATTTAAATAAATGCCAATTTATATGAGAAGTATTTTCTTTACCAAACTGACTGCAAAGAGGAGAGGGTTTGATAATATACTACCTTGGAGAGAGGAAGGAGAAACAAGATGTGGAGTACACACTCAGTACAACTTCTTTAGAGGGCATCTAGCAACAGCTATCAAAATTGAGCACATACATACCTTTTGACCCACCTATTCCATTTCTAGAAATTTAATGTACACATATGCTTGCACAAGTATGTAAAAACTTATAAGATATTTGTTGTAACATTCGTTTTTAAGAACAAAAGGCTAAGTCTAAAATCAGTCAGGGACAGGATGAATAAATTATGGTACATCCATACACTGGAATTCCATGTACCTTTAAACAAAATGAAGTATGTCTACATGTACTGAAACAGCTGGATCACCAAGACTATCTTTAAGGTTTAGAAGAGTTGTATAATATGTTCCTTTATGGTATAAAAGTGCATATGAATATGGAAAATTACTGGAGAAATTATAAGAAGCTGCCTTTGAGAGTGAAACTTGGTTTGGGTGGTGTGAGGTGGGGAGTCCTTGCTTTAAACTACATGTATAGTTTTTCAGCTTAAGAAGAAAAATAGTAGAGACACAGGAAATACTGGGCAGTAGATACCTATTCTAGATCCAGTCAGGAAACTGGCACTGGGTATTTGACTGGTTGGTTTGGGTACTAAAAGTTAATTCAGTGACAGGCTGTTGGGATGAACATAGTTAGCTTGGCAGCTGAAGCCGTGTTATTTCTTAAGCATAAGGAGTGTATGCATTTATATTACTGCTTTTGTGATGTTTTTTTGAATTAAATCACTCTCATGGTTAAAAGCAAGGACTCTGAATCCAGACTGCCTGAGTTAAAATTCCAGCTCCACCACTTACTAGCTGTGTAACCTTGGGCTGTTTGATCTCTCAATGCCTCATGTTACTCATCTGTGAAAAGGGGATACTAAGAGTACCTATCCCACAATTGTGAGGATTACGCGAATTTAATAAATGTGAAGCAGGAAAAACAGTGCTGGGTACATAAAGTGTCCCTCTAAGTACAAGTTACATAATGTACATTAAGTATTGTGCCCCGTATCATTAGTCTCTTGAGCTTTTCTCATGCCTGAACTCACCTATCCTAGGAGCTACTAAAGATGGCAAGACTACCAGGCAGTAAAAGTGGGAGTGAATAAGAAGAGTGGAAACGAAAGCGGTCAATAAACTCTCGAGTTGGGTTAATGCCCCTCCAAAGTGCTCCCATACTGCCCGTACTAATCTGTATTTTACTATATACTTAACTGTTCTACTTATGACTGCCTTAGCCATTCTTTCTCCATTTCACTGCTATAAAATAGTACACAAGAAGGGAATGAACAATTTTTGGGCTGGAAATTTATTACTGGAAAACTGACTGGTGTTTTCTCTTGCAGAAGGTCCTACAGTGTAGGGGAAGCAGTGGAGGAATTTGTGGGACCTGATGGACAAAAATGGGCCAATATGGATCCAGAAGAACGAATGTTAGCAGCTGCTACAGCTTTTACCCATATCTGTGCAGGGCAGGGTGAGGGAGGTGTCAGGAGAGCAGCCCAGTCCATCCCATATGATCCCTACAGTAAAGCCTCAGTAACCCCAGGAAAGCGACATGCTCTTCCTGTGCAATTGCATTACCCACATATAGAAAGCAATGCCTCTTCAGAAGCAGTCTCAGAGGCCTCCCAAAGACTCCGAAAGCCCGTGATGAAGAGAAAGGTGCTGCGTCGAAAGCCAGGCGGGGAAGTATTAGTGACGGATGAGTCGATCATCAGTGAATCGGAGTCTGGGACAGAAAGTGACATGGACGTCTGGGACTTAAGACAAAGGCTGATGAATCTGCAGTTCCAGGATGACAGGGAATCTCCAGTTGATATTTCACAAAAATTTAGTCTACCACGTGAATACCAAGAAATTTCTCAAGATCAGCTCATCTGCTGTCTACGAAGAGAAGAAATGGGCCCTCCAGCTTATGAACAAGACCTGATCGTTGCCAGCCGACCCAAGTCCTTTATTCTCCCAAGGCTGGACCAGTGGAGCCGAAACCGGGGCAAGGTAGACCGGGTGGCCCGCTACTTTGAGTATAAACGAGACTGGGACTCGATGCGGTTACCTGGTGAAGATCATAGGAAGGAATTACGCTGGGGTGTCCGAGAGCAGATGCTTTGTCGTGCAGAACACCAATCCAAGCCTCAGCACATATATGTTCCAAACAATTACCTAGTACCCACTGAGAAGAAACGATCTGCCCTTCGTTGGGGTGTTCGTTGTGACCTTGCAAATGGTGTGATGCCCAAGAAGCCTCCCTTCCCTCTTTCTCCTTCTTAAGTCCTTTTTTTTTTTTTTTTAACCTGTCTCTCCTTTCACAGCATTGTTTGGGATAACCTGGTTCTTAACCTCTCTCCTTTTACTTAAATAGAAACAACTAACTCAAAAGACCATGGAACAGAGAGTAAGGACTTCACCCATCACTGGTCTTTCCTAGGTGTATGTCACGTTGGTATCGGATACCACTTAACTTCCAAATTACCACTCATATTTAGCAATTGAAAGAGGAATCATGCCAGAAAAAGAAAAACAGACCTGGTCTTTCTGTTTTGTCAGAGTAGTAAGCAAAGCCAGCACTATTTCTCTTTTATAAACTTGTTACCTTTGGCTAGTGTGAGTTGCTGTTTTTATGAGTGTGTTTTTAAAGTTGCTGGGCAGTAAGCAACTGCCCAAAATTAAAGAATTTTGGAAATTTGTGAATTTGACCTTATTTTTACTTAAATACTTCTCAAAGATGATCTCAAACCTAGGTTATGATTCTGCTTCCAATCATACTCCCCATCGTGCTCTCACCACCTAAATAATGAGAGCCAAAGGGAATGAACAAAAACCTGCCCTTTACACACAATCCTAAAGGAGGAAAGGTAACAGCGTAGATAACCTTCGTTACTAAAGGAATATAGTAAATCCAGCTGTTTTAATAATTTTTAACAGATGCTCAATAACAGCACTGTGTGACATGTAAGATTCTAACCCAAGTTTTGTTTCAGAATTATTTCAGCAATATATTGCCCTCCATTTGTTACTTCTAGAATGCCATAGTTTTTATAATTTGCCGCTAAGATTTTCTTAGAAATTATGCCTGTCACTTGAAGGCTATTCCCACTCTGCAACAGAACTTCAAACTCCTAGCAGCTGGAACCAGATAGAGAGATAATAACCAAAATGAATCTGGTCTATTAGGGTACAGACCAACTCACTAATTTAGCTCACCTGAACTTGGATCTATTTGTTTTTGATGCTTCTGGTCCAAAAACACCTAAAATCTGGAGGTTGTCAGTTTTAGCATTTAAGCCAGAAGAGTGACAGCAGAAATAGCTTGCTTGTTCTAGGAAAACACAGCTGTGTAACAAAAATGAATGACCTTGACCATTACTATCTGCTAAAATACATTTTCTCCGTAATATTTAAGCGACATCATTCATTCACCCAGTTCCATTGTTAGGCATTCATCAGGGAAAGTAAGAATCAGTGACTCAAAGATATATGCAGGATACATTCACTGCAAATACGTAAAAACTGCAAACTACCCAACAACAGTGAATAATTAAACGTTAGACTATTAGTCACTGGAAATCTATGGTAAGCTAATAGAAAAATGCAAATTAGGTCAAACAAGTTGCAAACTGTACCGTACAATCTCAGTCATACTGCACACACAAGGCACAAGGAAAGATCAACACACCTAACTCTAGGTGGTGGGATTAAAGGTAGTTTTTATTTAAACCTCTCTTCTTTAAAAGTTAAAAGCCACATGGCACTTTTTACATACAAATTACAGCAAAACAATGGTTTACATCTTCATATCTCAAAGCCCAATATTACCGGATCAAAAAATTTCCGAAGTGATTATCTAGTTCAACCCCTTATATAACCGAAAAACTAGTCCAAAGGAGTTAAGCGAGTAATAAGACATTTGGGGGAAAAGAAGACTCCTGACGGGTGAAGCACAGTGGTTCCCAAAGAGCCATGTAATACCTGGAGGGGGGCCACCAAATTACCACAAAGGAATTTCGTGCGTGCGCTAAGCATTGACTGTAAACATTAAAACTGCCGTCGCTAGACTTTCAATGTATTTTTTGAGGTTAAAAAGGTTTAGTCTCGAAAATATTTGTAACCAGTGGAAGTAGCAGAAAGAGCATTCCCCATGATAAACTTTTAAACCAAAGAAGGAAGCAGGGGTAATAGCCAAAGGATTAGGAAACACGCACTATGATCACTAATACTGGAAAGTAATCCCCCAAACAATTTGAAAATCGTTGCCACGCCTGCCCACCCCACATACTACTGGGATCCCGACCTCTACTAATATTTCGTTTTATGAGCAAACAAAATTCTAACTGAGGAAGAAGAGATTACACTCCGCAGTCCCAGGGCCCTCAAGGAATCGAATTAAAGAAGCTCCTACTGCTGCACGTTTCTGACAAGTGCTCCAAGAAGCACCAGACACAAAAACACGGTCTTTAGCGAGTTCCCATTTCCATGCTCTAAAGAGCGCTTTCCTGAAAAGATCAAGGTATGGAAACAGGGGCTTAGAGGGAAAGAGAGAAACGTCCATCTGTTTGTCCATCTGTCCATCCCCCTTGGAAGAACCCAGAAAATAACCCACCCCAAAACCCCCACATTTACCTTCCGGTCGTCGGCCACGCAGCTTTTCTCGAGACAGGAAGCTGTCCCTTTGCGTTTTCTACGCGCGCGTCCGGGGCCTCATGGGAAATGTAGTACATCTTCATGGGAAATGTAGTTCTAAGAGCCGGGAGTGCAGGCTTGACGCTGAAATCTGCCTAATGTTTTCTAATCTAGTCACCATTTGTCCACCTCCAACACAACAGAATCTGGGTCCTGCGGTAGGAGAAGAATAAAATGATAATTTCTAGTGCGCTAAAATAATAGAAAACTAAAATTAAAGAACTTGGTCTGATTTTATTCGTACTTAAATTAGTAGAAAGTTATCATTGAGAGTCAAAAACATTTACAATTAGAATCCACATGGAAAGGCTGAAAAGGAATGTGATAATCTCAAAACAGACGACTGAGGTGTCCGAGAGTGACCGAACAGGGATGGGGAGTCTTGCTTCAGCACCACGGAGAGATCATAACTAGGTTTTGTTTGCGCGTTTTTCTAGAGATGCTGATCGAAACCGCAAGATTTCAGTTAGAAAACTGGCGGGGGTGGGGGGTGGGGTGGGGTGGGGATCTGGTTCTTTTGTCCAAATTTAGCAGTCATTAGTGCACAGAATCTATCCCGGACTATGCAGGTGAAGGTAGCAGGTGAAGGTTGTACCGAAAGGGAAACCGTTTTCTCCGGATTGCTTTACCAAGAGGCGCGTATCAGAATTAAAATGAAAATAAGCCAGTATGTGGAAACATCACAGGTATCTAGTAACAGGGACAATAGAGCTTGAACAACTTTACTTCCTCTCTGCATCTTTCGCATTCGAATTCATTTGTCGGATGAAACTCACCAATTCTGACTCTCCACTTTCCTACGACATTCACTAGCCTTTCTGACATCCTGCAACGCAGAAGCGGAAATTTCGGGGGGACGCGGGCACAAGAGCTTGAAGCGGGGTGGAGGGGTCCTGCTTCACCACCAGGAGAATAGTCTGGGGAGAGGGTGGTGGGGTAGGAGAGGTAGGACTCTCGAATCAGTACGGAGATTGCTGCCGCTTAGAGTCCCACGCTGCTGTTGCTCAGCAGAGGTCAGCCGCGGGCGAACGTTCACCACGATAGCGCCCCGACCGCCTTTCCAACGCCTGGCGCTGACTGGGGCACTGGCAGACCACTACAGCCAGCTCCCTCCTGCGCGGACCCCGCCCTCCTCCCCCGACTCCTCCCACCACCACCTCGGAGTTCGGGCGCCTGCGCACGGCGGCTGGTCGGCCCCCCGAGAAAGCCCATTGGCCGCTGGGTGAGGCCGGGCACTACCTCGCGCCTGTGGCGGCCGCACGTGCTGGGAGCGGAAGCGGCGATCGCAGCTATGGCGTCGTTACTTTGGGGAGGCGACGCAGGGGCTGCGGAGAGCGAGGGGCTGAACGGCCACGTAACTGCCACCGAACCGGGGAGGGCAAGGGGGTTAGGGGCTAGAATAGCACTCCCGGAGGGAAATGTGCTGGGGAGGGGAAGGGAGAGCTCCGCTACGGTTTGGAGCCGAGTGTCAGATGGTGGTGGGGAGGTGTGACAAGGATTTGGAAGAGGGCCACGGGAAAGGAGACCCCGAGAGAAGCAAGACCTTTGGTTTTAAAAGGCAAAATGAAGACATCTGCGGGAGGGAAAGCAGCTGGGAGCCCCAAGTAGACCCTGAGTTTTCTCCTGTCCCAATTTGACCGTTAAGCCTCAGCCTCCATCTGATCTACCAACGTGCTTTTCTATCTGCTATCCCTTGCTCGTGCTGTGACCCGCCGAGGACTGTCACATTTAGACTAGAGGCTTATAAAGAGGAATGTCATATACAGGGGCAGTAGAAAGTCTCCTCTGATTTTAGGATAATTCATACAGGAGACCTGCTTCTCAAAGGAATCCGTTAATACATAATATCGCAAAGGAAACAGTATTGGCGTGGCCTTCCCTGCCTCCCTTCCAGCCCGTGTTAGGGGGTGGCACTGGGCTGCTTGATGCCTTGCTTCACAATATTGATTGAAATTTGTATCTTTCAATAGTTTTCAAACCTCATCCATCCCCGGAAGAACCTTCAGGGTATTAAGAGTACTACCGTTACAAACGTAGGTGAGTGTTGTTAAAGAAGATTGGGCTCAGTTCATTTAAAAAGCGTTGCTTTCCTCATGTCCCTGGCAACTTTGGCTCCCATAATTTAACATTCAAGACCCTCCACTACCTTTCCAGTCTTTTTACCCACTCCTCCACTGCTTGACCCTTCCTTTGTACACACTGTAGAGTCGGCAGGAGAAACTGGGATGATACGCTGGATGTTCCTGCTTGGCATTTATCTTTACAGTTGTTTCTCTTCCATCCTTTTAGACGGTTCTGTTAATAACACCGAAGAAGATGGTGAAGAAGATGGAGGTAGGAAATAAATTCATTTGCGTGTATTTACTGGCATTCTGTTTCCTTTAATCATGACTTTCACAACGTGGGTGAGTAATACCATCTTAATTGGAAAAGAACCATCTTTGCTTCTGTTTTCTTTATAAATAGTGACTATCAGAAGAAATACTAACTTGGGAGTCAGGATTACTTCTTTAGAGGAAATTGAAATAGAATATGCAGGAATGGGTTACGAATTTTCAGCTGGCAAGGAAAAATTAGGTCTGCTGGCAATAGATGTAGGCTTGGTTGAGGTTAGAGGTTGGCGTAGCAACAGAGCATAAGAAACTGGATCCTCGTGGAAACGAAAAGGAATTCTCAGTGCTGTGTCATTCTTTTTAGAACCTTCTTTTGGAAGAAAAATGAGAGTAGGGACAGTTGCTTGGTATACAACCCGTGAATGGAAGGAGGCAACTTGTTAGATGTCATTCAGGAGGCTTGACTTTCCCCCTGCAGTATCCCCTGTTTTATCCTTGCTTTTCTAGTGGAATTGGCAGCTAATTCACTCTTGAACAAGTTAATCCGGCAGTCCTTAGTAGAATCCAGTCACCGAGTTGAAGTCTTACAAAAGGATCCCAGCTCTCCACTCTACTCGGTGAAAACATTTGAAGAGCTGCGGCTGTGAGTATTCGTACTTTAAGTGTGGGAAAATTCCAGAGAGCATAGCACAGAACAAACTAATCTGCTAATAATAATCATCAGGATCTCCTTCGTGTTCTAATGGTCAGTGTTCAAATGAGATGTGGACATTTTGCATGCAATTAAAATATAGCTCAAAGAGGAACACTAGGATATCTGAATTGTCCAACGACTTGAGAACATTTTTGATGGTAAAATATTTTGAGCTTGCTGTGCTAAGGGGGATGGCTAAGCCAGACACAGCCATATTGCTACTCTCCATACCAGAGTACAGATAACAGGAATTTTGATGACCCAAATACCCCTTTAGATAAGTTACAAGCTTTTACCTTTTTAATTATTATTATTTTTTTTGTCTCAGATGGTATTTAAATGAATAACTTTCCCAAATAGGTTTGCATTTCCTAGGGAGTTGTCAACTGGCATTAAGGAAATGTATTTAAATAGGTCGAGTTACTGATACGGACTTATGTAAGTGGGGAAATCCAAAATCCCAATGCCTGCTTTCTAGTTGGGGAGAAGCTTACTTATAATTAAAGGTTGGCTGCCAGTAATCTACCAATTAAGCATGTCCCAAATGTGCATGTCATTGTAGTGGAAGTATTCCAGCCTACTTCACTTTATCCTCTTTCTAACATCTATCCTGAGACCCCAGGAAAGACGCATTTAAAAATACTGGCTCAGGAGAATGAGCTAATATTGCGTCTTCTGCTCCTAGAGAGAATTGATATAAGAATCACCTAAATGAAATTTTGTTTTCTCTGAAAATTGCCATTGAAACGTTAAAGTTTGTCATTGACTAAAAAGAAATAAACAATAAATCTCACTTAGTTTTCTGCTTGTGTGGAAAATAAAACTCTACTGGAAAATTGATACACTTCTATCAGATGAGTTTTTCCTTTTTTTTTTCTTGGTTCAAGAGAAAGTTCAACGTTAGGCCCTTACTACTATCCTTGGCCTGGGCTTATGACATAACTTATTACTTTAGTGCTCCAACTGTGCAGACAGGATTGTATATATGTTTGAGAGTTGAGGTTTAACTTGTATATTTCCAAATATTACTTTTTATACTCACTTGCAAAGTGGCCTAATTTAGAAATGCACCTTTCAAGTTTGTATTTCTGAGTCTACTGACGCATCACAGACTTTAAGTATTTGATTTTTTGGGTTTTTTTGACAGAAAAGAAGAGTTACTAAAAGGGATCTATGCAATGGGATTTAATAGACCATCCAAAATTCAAGAGATGGCTCTCCCTATGATGCTGGCACATCCGTGAGTTTCTACGGTAGTGGTATTCCAACTGGTTATTTTTAGTCACTTATATTCAGTTTATACCCAGGAGCTTGTATTCAGTTTATGTCCAGCACATCCTCTTTTCTACAGACCTCAGAACCTCATAGCCCAGAGTCAGTCTGGAACAGGAAAGACAGCTGCTTTTGTCTTGGCAATGCTAAGCAGAGTTAATGCCTTGGAATTGTTTCCACAGGTAAGGAAAGGCTGGGAGAGAGATGGGAATGCTTGCGGTGCCAAGGGTATTTTAGTAATAGGCAATATTGCTGCCATGATGTGATGATATTTAGAATAGACGTTCTTTCATAAAATCAGAGTATTGGGCAGCAGTATGGGGCAGTGATTGAGAGCACAGGCTTTACAGTTTGACTGGTTCCAATCCCAGCCTCTCTACTTACCAGCTGAAAGTCTTAGGCGAGGTAGTAAATCTTTTGGAGTATGTTTTCTTGTCAGTAAAGATAACACTTATAAAGGTATGGATCACAGTTGTTCTGTTCACCCTTGAACCCTAACTTCAGTCACAGTGCTTGGCTTGTAGAAACCACTCCTTAAACATTGAATGAATGAATGAATGAATGAATACCTGCCTCATAGGATTGTCATGCAGATTGAGTGAATTAATGTACATTTTTTAGCACCGTGCTCAACATAAAGTGAGCATTCAGTAGTGATAGTTATATAGCTGTAGGTCACCCAGTCCCTCCTACTCATTTAGTGGAGAAGGAAACAGAGGCTTGGAGAGGGAAAGGTCACACGTGAGGTCACAGTTGTCAGAGAGCGACTGAGCAGGGACTAGAACTGCGCTTGCCCTTCTCCCAACCTAGTGTCAGTACATGGA